TTTGCAAATATTCGCATAATTTAAAAAAAAAAATTTTATTTAAATACTTAATAATATTGTATTAATATAGCAAAAAAAAATTTTTATTAAATCGTTGCGCTGCAAAAAAATCTAGAAAATGTACTCATTTTTCGCAGGTTCAAAAGGGTATGCACCCTTAATCATATAAATCAATATATTTGCTTATGCTGGAAGGTTAAAAGGCACTATATGATGCCTACAGAGATTTAAACATATGTTCCTTAATTTGAGAGGCAAAATTATTTGCAAAAATATTTAATTGTGTGAAATAAGTGTGAATAATTTAGCTACTTTCCTTTTTCTAATATTATTTTTATTTTTCTAAAAAAAAAAGATATTACTTAGAATTTTGTTACTTTTATTTAAAGTAATCTTGTAAAATTATTTTTTCCGATTTACACCATTATTTTACCTAACTATACATTTGAGAAACATGATAACAGGTCTTTACGACGTATTAATTATTCTTATATACGATACGCGTAGGCAGTATGTTTGTGGTGGATATTACGTGAAACGCAGGTATACGGTGGAAACAAGATGAATCAGTCTCTGCAGAATTTCGGTGGGTTGTTTTTGGGAGCTTAATTTGTCTTTTGGGAACATTGCCTTGAGAGAGTGAAACATTTAGAAAGCAAACTTCTTCTGATGTTTCTATTTCCCCCAAAAAATATGTTTTAGCAAGAAAGTATATATATATATAATTTATTTATAAAAAAAATTAATTCAGTAAATTTATATTGCGGAGGAAATAATTTATCAATGAGAAATGTAACTTTTAAATAAAATAAAATAGTTTTTAATATGTATATTTATTTTTTAAAAAGGAGAGAGCTTTAATATTTCATAAAAATAGCAAAAGTTACGAAATATATTTGTATTTATATTATGTAAATTATTTTCTTGAAAATATATAAGAGAAAAAAAAATACAAGATGTTAAAAGAAAAAATATAGTTTTTTAATTGTTATTGTACACAAAATGCTACGATTTTGTTACATAAAACAGACCTCAACAATGCTTCTCTTTGTTGCAAAAAAAAATATAGGTAACAATTGTCTCTGAAAATCTATTTCTATAATACACATTACATAGAGAGAAATTGCTAAAGAAAGACATCAGTAAGATGTCACGCATACTAAGGTCCGGTGATCTATTCTGAATCAACGACATGGTTCTCAAATCAGTCAAGCACTGTGACAAAGCTTTAGGATAGTCCAGACAACACGACATCAGATCTATCGCCGAGAAAACAACTCAATGTTCTCGACGGCGATGGAAACTTCGCGTCGTGTCGCAAGATTTAGTGACATGGGTACGCGAATACTCTTGCACGCGAAAAAGAAAAAGAAAAAAAAATAATATCATTTCACTTTGTTGAGAGTAGTTCGGCCACGAATCGAATGAGATTTATTTCTTCGATCGGCCCACGACAATATATTCAACGAAGAGTACAATATCTCCATAACAATACTATTTCCTTTCCATAACAATGTCATTTTCTTCATGGTGGGTGGGATAGAGGAGAAAAATCGATATATATTTCCGAATGATAGAAAATGTTTGATTTCTACAAGTCGGCGATAAGAAGACTGATGCGATATTGGAAAACCACGATGCACAATAAAATATTATGTATAAGATAGCTATTGTATATCTCAGCTATTTGAAATCAAATTAAAGATAGTCATTTCAAGAATATTTTGAATAATACTTTTTAACTACAAATTGTTAGATTTGCGTATTTGACAACATCACCAAACGTGAGGTAAAAATGTCAGTTATACAATTATCAATAATATTTAAAACAAATAAATGTGCACACACGAATATTGAAAGAATACGATCTCTCGGGCATTCAGACAAATTTATCAAAAATATGCGTTAAACTCGGTGGGAAAAAGTTGCATTAATTGGGTAAAACGACGAGACGTAAACCGCAGGCTTAGCATGAAACAAAGCTCTTTCGTCGCTACTAAGAAAAAACTAATACCAATGTAACACTGACAGGTGCGTTATCATTGTCAACCTACGCAGGAACGGAGGAAGACTAACGATGTATGGAACACGTCGACCTAGGCAAAATTCGTGCGAAAAACATGCGCCGCTCTTAATAGTGATAAAATATCGCAAACTTAGGCAAAGATATGCGTGGGCGGGTATGGAGGGATGGGGAATGGGGAAGGGGAGTAATCCGTTTATGCGGATTTCATCTACTTTAGGCTCAGAAATAATGCAATCTAGTCTCGAGTACATATATTTCCCGTGTTCAAGTATCTCTTACACTCTTTAATTTAATCAAAACAATCATTTCGAGAAAAAACGCTCTTTGTTTTTCACATATTCACCATTTCATAGTGGATTTCACAAAGAGATATCAAAAATATTTATGGAGTAAAAATGTCAATTATATAATTATCAACAATATTCAAAACAAATAAACGTGCACACACGAATGTGGAACCCGTGGGAGGGTTATATTATATAATTTTGTAATGTAATATATAATTTAGAATATATTTTTATAATTGATAGATTATACATATATCGCATCTTTAATATAAGTAAATAAATATACAAGTTTATTTAAAAAATATACTTTAGTTTGATTAAAAAACTATTTATATAAATTAATTTAATATTATCACTTTACGCGCTTTACAAAATCTTTTCACCTTCCGAATGAAATAATTTTATTTGACGTTAAAAAATAAAAAATTTTTTTCAATTTTAATAAATTGATAAAATTCAATTACTGTAAAACCTTTTTTTTTCTTTTTTATTAAAATCAAGCCAATTTTTCTCAGATCTTAAAAATTTGAAAGGGAGAGAGAGAAATAATGATAATAATGTATTATATAATTTTTCTTATGTAGATATAAAACAAATAATAATTTTTTTTAAACTAAGGATTTATTATAATATATATTTTAAATAAAATTATATGAAAAGTTTCCGATAAATTCTCACACATACACACACACAGCCCGAATACGAGTTAAGATTATCACTAAAAATGGAACGTGTAAATCCCTCTTGAATATCTCTTGCATTTGCCATAACGGATTTTGTGAGCTTCTAATAAAAAGTTGAACGATAAGAAGCGATCGATAAAGTGAAGTCTCACAAGATAGGATTATAAAAAGATTATGGGATATTCCATTGGGAAAGAGCACAATGTAACCACAGATTTTAAATCACCAAAGCGATGTTATGAGTGTAAATATAACGAGAATATTACGAGTATATCACACAATGGCAACATTTGCTTGCCAAAATAAAAATTGAATTGTATTAGAGAACCTGTTAAAAGAAAAAATATGTAGACATCGAAATCAGTTTGATTTTTCATCATTCGAGCAGAAGGAATTTTGAATTACTTGCAGCGATGAATCGATATCACGTACGTAGTTCGCAAGTCACGAATTTAATCCAAAGAATACCCAATATATTGCAAGTTATTTGCTTCATTATTTTGTAAAAATTAATCCTACAAGCCATGAATAAAAATCGGCTCACGATAAAAGTTAAGAATTCTCTGTTGTTCGTTTGTCCGCGCGTAATTGGCTGAACTTGGTTCGATGATATCAATTGTAGTCGAACAATTGTAGCAAAACACACACGTACGTAATAGAATTTATTTTTGTCCAAAATATATATTTTAAAATAATTGTAAAAAATTAAAATTTGCGTTGGCTACTAATTGCGTTGACATCTATGTATACGTACATATATTGCAAACATAAAAGTACACATATCAGGACATTGTAAAACGTTTTATCTTTCGATTTATTTCAGGATGCTTATAAATCTGTAAACCCTCGTTCCTTCCAACATCTGGCTGAATTTATTTGTATATAGTGAGATCAGATATCATAATCAACACTTGTTTGCCGTGCAATTCCAAGAAATATATAAAAATTTGATATAAAAAAGATTGTGTGTGCGCCATATTCTTTAATTTATTTTTATGTTACGGTATAAGGTGGGATACAATTGTAAATAACGATATCGCTATAATAACGATTTAAATAACTCCGATTTTTACATTTATATAACAGTACACTTATTGTAAAATGTTATATAGAGTCTTGTAATATATATAACGTTTTATAAATGTTATTTTTTGTAACGTTATATTAATTTCTTCAATTTTAGTTTCAGTTGTGCAAAACATCTATTCTTAGTTTTTTGTTTTCTCTATATATATCCATGTTTTTAATAGACTTAATTTATCGAATTGTTTCCAGAAATAATAGATATAATATATCTACAGTATTATTATAATATTTGCGTATAATAATGCTGTTATCACGATTATTTAACATAATATACATAGCTTGAATTAAATTAAATTGAAACAAACAAATACATTTTTTCCAATAGTCACTTAACCGCGCGTTAAATCATCCAATGTTCTTGATAATGATATTTTATTCCATCATATATATATATTAGCATAAAAAGGACCGAAACCAACAGATATTCCTTTCATGTAAATTCGACTTTCCGAATCTCCCGCGAATCATTGAACTGTTTTCGCCTGATGTTCGTATATGTTTTACTTTCTCCCCTTTTCTTTCTAAAACACAGTAAAATATTAAATTGAATAATCTTATTATTCTCATATCCATTTCACACTCATATCTTTTCTTCAGTGTGTGGCACAAAAAAACTAGAATCTAGTATAAATATTTCAAAACGCAGCTATTTTTATATTACGAACTTAATTATTAAGTAACCATAATCGATTTCTATACTAAAAAAATTAATAATAATGTGGTTAAAAAATTAATAATTAATAACTGCATAATGTAAATGTTTAAATTAATAATTAATAATTATTTCAAGTGCTCTTTTTCTGTAAATTACTTTAATTTCCGTGTTTAATCTAAAACGCATCAATCGCGACCATGAAAAAAAAAAATTAGAATGATAGTGTGCTATCATTATGACAAGAGTTTATTTTTTTGTTCCAGCTTTCTCAGCGATCGGAATACCGTTACTTATGAAATCAGTAACAACGAAACTTATTTGAACAACGAAACTCTGCTTTACAATATATCATCAAACGAGGACTATATCTTTGACAGGACTGATGTAAAAGTAATTTTTATTACTTTATACACTATCGTATTTGTCTGCTGTTTCTTCGGTAAGTCATTCATTGTCTTTATACATATATACCTCATAATTCTTTAGTCTTCAAACAGTAATTTTAAGAATATATATTGGTACACAATTATAAATTTCTTTTTAAGAAATGCAATTATTTGCACTTTTATTGTGCCTGAGAATTACACACACACACACGCTAATATAACACATACTTATATAAGTTTGAAAAGAAAAAGTAAACTATGTATGTATATATTCATCTTTAACAAATATAAATTCTTTTTATTATATTTGACATGGCTATAAACTGCTGAATTACGAATATTTTTATAAATATAAATGAATATTAATCATTTTTAACATGCTTTGCGATATGCACCAAGTGCAAAAATTAGATCTTGTACTTAAGTATATTTCTAAGGAAGATTATACATAACATAAATTTTATTTAAAACGGAACAGATTAGCCGGAAATAATTGACATGTTGCTATTTTAACATGCGATGAAAAATGGGAAAAAAATAACTTTTATATTACTAAACGTTTGTTGTTAGATGTTTATTATAGTAATTTGAAATTTATCTTGTGTCAATATCATATAAGTAAATTATTTTTAGAGATATTAATTTTTTTTTGTTATATTTTAAATATTCTATGTATTCTGTATTTGCAATTATAAAAAACATACAAGTTGGAAAATCGAATATCTTTGCAATTTGCGCACATTGCGCGTTGAAGATTTAATCTCGCTACTAATTTATGACGAATTTTAATCAACATCTATTTCGAATCAAAGTGAGGGCTTGACGTTTCATTGCGGAAGGCAGCTCGCGACGTGAGCTCCTTTTGCTTAGCGACGTGCACGCGGAACTCGTATGTCGCCTGTCGGAAATAGCTTCATTTCCTTGGAGATGTCACATGAACGACCACCACCACAAATTATCATGAAACTACCATTAGGTAGTCGCTCGTTTCCGGTCGCATAAACCACGCAAAAAATCCGTATATCACTTTTAAGGGAGCAAGCATAGTAATTTATCGATCCTAAATAAGAATCGTTGGTGCATTTACAAGTTTGTGCTAAATAAGTGTAAGCGCGTTCAATTATCCTAATAATGCCAATTACAGAGCAATTTCTAAGAAATCTTAATAGAGATTTTATTAGAAACTAGATTGCATTAGGATATTGTAATATTAGAATGTTTTATTTTGCTATTCACAAGATAAATCATTATAAACATTTGGCTAATAAAAAGTTTGCTTTTAATTTATTACTGAATTTGTAGCCGAAAAAACACTTGATAGTGTATTTAACGAAATATATTGATGATATTAAATGCAGATTGCAATGTGTCAGAAATATTATTCTAGATAACAATCTCGAAATTTCAATTCATTATTGGTTTATAAATAGTTTGGAAACACTACATTTTGTATGGAGATGTTAACAATGTTGTATGCTAAACATTTTTTTCTCATATAAAAAGTTAATAAAAATATAAAGATATCACTATTAAAAATATATATATTATCACATTCTCTAAATATATACGTTTTAACTATAGGGAGATTGACAACACCACAGTCTCATCTGTAATGTATAGTATTATTATTCATAATTTAATACGCGCATATCAATGCAACTCACACACACGAGAAACATTATGTATAGCGAACAGAAACGCATAATAATCCGAAAATATCACTATGTAAAATATGAAAAAAATCCAAGTTTACAATTATCGATTTTAACATATTTATGTAAATAATAGGAAAAACAAACTATAAATTAGTATTAATAGCGAAATAACACAATGCGTTTATTTGTTGGCACAATTTATAGCAAAATTTAAGTGATGTAGACCTTATTTTTTTTTTGGTCACTCGAGCATCTCGTAAATACCGTAGTTACAATTTGTTAGATACGGCAATAGCAACGTTGAACGAAACGTCGATCTCCGAATCGATCCTACGAACGGTGATTTCTTTCGCTGCTGAAATTTATGCTCTCAATAAATGCCAACGTGTTCGACATGATCGCGGTTTTGGATAGCCCAGACGAAAGATAAATTTTAACAATATGCGAAAAAAGATCCGCGTACGCGACGGCAGCATATGCTATTTCGCAAATACACAATATCTCTCTCTTATGTGAAGCTGTCAGAATACGCAAAGTGAGGGTTAAGCTGATTACTGATTATTATTTATGAAGAGAACTAATGTAGCCATTTAATATAATCAATTAAAATATATTTATAAATTTAATGCTTTTATGTTGTTAATTTCACCGAATTACTTTATTGAATCACTCAATACAATCATTATTTATTTGTTATGTTATTTTAAAATAGATTACATTTTTTTTATATGCAGAATGCGTATTCAAAATCGTGATATAAATTGGTGGTGAATTTTCATGCAAAAAAATAAGTCTGTAGGCTATAAAACGTATAGAATAAAATTGTTTCATACAAGGCTTTTCTAGCAAAAAAAAATAATTGTAGCGAATGGAAAATTAATCTTTTTGTTGATTGTATCATGAGTTCGGACGCATCCCATGTATAAAATGTGAGAAATTTTATATTATTACTTTTAAACAATCTAAAGTCTATGTTTCTTTAATAAAAACGTCAAAATATCAATTAATTTTGAGTTACAAGTAACATAGAAATAAGACACAGAATATATAAAAGATAATTTGAATATTATCTTCCTTGATTATTCTTGTATTCCAATTATTCCAAACTCAATATGTATGACATGTTATCTTGTATGCATTCTATTACAGCCAGAAATGTAAATACTCAAAGATAGTGCGATAAATCGCGGACACGAACAATGCGACGATTTTACGCGCGTGTGATTGTTATACGTTAAAATTTCTATTTATTTTTCCCCCGCTTTGATTCTCATTTTATCTCAGTTGCACTCAGCATATATTGATTTTTTCGAAAATTTAGCATATTATGAAAAAATTATTTTTTTTCTATCATAAAAATTAGTTTTTAATAAAAATATATTAATATTTAATCGTTTTTTGATACATTTTTCTATGTAAACTGCATTGATTACTGATAATACAATTTCTCCCTTTCTTTCTTTCTCAGCCTCCTCCTCCTCTCTTTCTCTTTCTCTATATATATGTGTATGTATGTATTACATGTATTACATACATACACATATATATAGTTAGAGAGAGAGAGAAAGAGAAAAGGAGAAATTAAATTATCAGTAATCAATGCAGTTCACATATATACGTACATAAAGTAATGTATCAAGGAAACAATTAAATATTAACACATTTTTATTAAAAAGTGATAATAAATGGCGCCAACGAGCAAAATAAAATTATATATATAATTTTATTTTGCTTACCGGTGCGATGCGCAACGGCGAAGTTGTAGTATTCGATGTTAATTTTTAAATTATAAATATACCTAAATTATAAGGTAGTGTTCATAACAAAATATTTAATATTTCCAAAAGTAATTATTGCAATACATATGCGAAGTATAATAATACATGCAATTTTAATTTTCTGTTTGTTGTTTTAATAAATATTTAATAAAAAAATTTTATAATTGTTGAAAAAATTTTTTTTAGATATAAATTCTTAAAAAATATTATAATTAAAAGTATAATTCTTATATAAATAAGCTACATAATTATAAATATTTTTTAATTATTATTAAAATATTTTAATAAATGTATATACACAAATATCAATTATTATATAAACATACACATAAATACTTTATATATTTTAAATAAAACTTATATTTTATATGCACATTTTTTTACACATTAATGTAATAATTATTATCTCATGGTGATAAACAAGAAATTTATTTTATAAGTAGTAAATAATAAAAAATTATAAATTATATTTACCCCATGGTTGCTCCGCCCTAGTCTAATGCCACATCGGCCTTGATTCTCTTCTCTTGTTCATCCTTTGCTGCTCCTTTATGACACCCTTATTCACGAAAATACGATTAATTACAATCGTGCGCACATTAATCAGAATACGACGATCGCGGGCGATCCCGACATTAATCAGACGCGCACTTTATTATGTTGCGACAGAAAAATGAAATAAAAACTCGCTACGAAGTTACGATTCACCCGAAAATCATGCGACGTGATCACGTTTCTTTATTATTATCTTTCAAAACACAACCATTTCTTATAATTATTATAATTAGCGATTATTAGCACAAGCGCGATTAATTAAATCATGCGATAAACGTCAATGCGACATTTAAGAATATCGCGGGTATTGGACTCAAATAACAAAAGAGCATTTATTTCGTATGATCTATTCGTTAGAATTGTAATACGCATGCAATATTGAAATTTGATTTTACAAAGACCGTCCATAAAGAAACCGAACATTAAAAAAGCGCCTGAATGCGATGATGTGGGGCCGTTTACTTTGTGACACTGTGTAGTGGGATTCTTTAGCAACTTTCTGATATAAAAGACGGTCGCATTTCAAATCGATTGGTAGCTTTGATTTTTCGTAGTATAAAGTAATATAAAGTAAATATAACATAAAGTTCCTATACATATAATAAAATGCGCGTCTGATTAATGTCAAAAGTACCGTGCAAAGTGTCGCGCAATCATTATATTCTGATTAATACGCACGCGATTATAGTTAACCGTGTTTTCGTAAATGAGGGTGCCATGAAAAAATAAAATAAAAAATGAACCAGAGAAAAAGTTTCATGCCCAAGAAGGTATCAAACTATGGTGGAACAACTATGAGGTAAGCATAATTTATATACTTTTTCTTATTTATTATTTATAAAATTAATTCCTTGCTTATCTCCGCGATAATAATTATTACATTAATGTGTAATGCATATAAAATATACTAAAGGTTCTTTTATTTGAAATGAGAGATAAAAAATTAAATTGCACGCAATAATTACTTTTTAAAATATTAATTATTTTGAACACTAATTTATAATTTGGATATATTTATATTTTACAGGTCAACGACGAATAATACAACTACGTTGTTATGCATCG